TGGATGTCCATCAAGATAAGCAACCGATATTATTGGGAATGGGATCAATTAACATCTCAGGGGACTAGATTAACTCCTCTGCACCCAATGCCCTTCCTTGTAAAAAATAAACATCTTGGAGGAACTCAGATGACCATGCTCCACTACCATGGACCTCTTATAGAGAAGAGTGGACAAAAAATGTACCTAAACCAATTTGAGTTATAGATTGGGGTCCTCATGGGAGATCAGAGGGCAGAAATAATAACCATTGTACTTGGCATGAGCATGCCAGTGATTACGGGAAATATACCTTGGCTCTGTACACCCTGCCTGAAGGTCGATTAGCCAGGTATGGTGTTAGGGACCTGACGCTCCCGTCACAGGCTGCATTTTTCCTGGTTCTTCATGCCTCTTAGAATGACCTCATGCTCTTTAGTTTCTTCCCTCCCACCCCCACCCCCCAGCCAAGGCCACAACAGTCCAGAGAAGTTAAACCTGTTTCTGCAGGGCTGAGCCCATGAGAGGCAACCTGGCCTGTGATAGGTTAAAAGTAGCCCACTCTTCATAAATAAGCAATAGCCCAGCCCAAAACTAATAAAAGGAACTTCCTTTCTTTGTTCTCTCTCCTCTCTCCCTGACCTGCCTTCCCGAATAAAATCTCCCATTGGACCTCTCTCGGTGTGTGGCCTAGTTGTTCAGCATCACTGTGCCTCTTCATATGGAACAACAGGTTTTAGCCCATTGCCCTAGGCCATTATTAATGTTATTATTATTATTATTATTTTTTTTTTTTTTTGGTACTGGGGATCGAACTTGGGTCCTTGTGCTTGTGATGCAGGCGCCGAAACCACTGAGCTAAATCCGCGGTCCATTATTTTTTTAGTACCAGGGATTGAACTAAGGACCTTGTGCTTCCTAGACAGGCATGGGCACCACTGAACTAAATAAACCCCTTGCCCTAGGCCATTATTAATGGCAGGCCTAGGTCCCTACAAAATTCCTGGACATTGGCTCTTCCTTATTATATATATTCCTTATGTTGGACAGCAATGGAAGGATGTATGATTACAGTCACTACAAATACTTGTAGCATTCAAACCAGAAAATCCATAACCACCAGTTCTCTGTATACACATATAAGCCTTATGTTTTCTCATTCTGAACTACTTTTCTCACCTCTTTCACCTGCAGGAATGTTTGCTAAGTCATATTTGAGTGCTAAGAAACAAAACCTTACTGGTCCTAGGGCAAATGCCTAGTCTGGGTACTGGTAAATCTTGCAGAACCATGGCCAGATACCCACTGCTGTTCATTTGCTGCAATCTCTGATTAACCATCTTGTACATAGGACAAAAAGGATGTTAGGATTGGTTATTGCTAGAATTGTCTCTTTGGCATTGTAATTTCTACTGTTGCTGCATCCTATGTAGCTCTTGCTTATTCTATACACTCATTTTGTAGATAGACCAAAACTCTAGAAAGAGCCTGGAATATATAACACTATTGATGCAAAATTACAATCACAGATTAGTGTCCTGGAGACCACTGTTAGGTGGATGGGACAGCAAATAAACTCTGCAGTTATAACAAGCGTTTCCAGTGACATTTTATTATTACTCAGTATTGTAAAACTTATCTCATATATAACCAATCTACCCATCCCTGGAAACACATTATTAAAAAAAAAAAAAAAACAGGGTGCTGTAAATAATAATGTAACTACTGATCTTGAGACATTGCAAAAAAAGAAAAAAGAGAAAAAAATCTGCTTCAACAGACTCAAAAAAAATTTTTTTTTTGGTACCAGAGATTGAACTTGGGTCTTTGCTCTTGCAAGGCAGGCCACCAAACCACTGAGCTAAATCCCCAGCCCCAGACTCAAAATTTTGATGAGCAAATTCAGGATTGGGATAAATTTGCTGTCACCTTTGACCAGCTTAATCCATAGAATTATCTCAGGGCCCATTTTACATTTTATACTAGATTATACTAATTGACTTGTACTTATCCTAGAGTGCTAGGCAAACAAAGCCAAACAATGCCTAGATACCATTCAACCTTAAGTCACACTGTCTCAACTCTTACAATTACAAACAAACGAAAAGAACTGTTGGGGACCAGCCATGATATGCTCAGATTGGTGAGGAGCCAGATTACAAGACCCAAAGGCCCAAGGTTGGTGTTAACTTGCCTTGGGGAATAGAGAAGTATGACTTCCTGGCTTTGCGGGAAAGCCATAAATACAGAACTCCTGAGACAAGATAATGCCTATTGAGGGCAATATGTGGGCATCTTGGTGGAAAAGGACCTCTTCCCTTTTAGATGCTAAACTTAGGTCCTATGTGACTACTTTTACATTTGCTTTTTTTTTTTTTTTTTGGTACCAGGGAACAAACTCAAGCTTGTAAGGCAGGTGGTGGAACCACTAAGCTAAATCCCCAGCCCCCATTTGCTGTTCTTGGGATAGACATTACCTCCTTCCCACTTCTTAGTGAATGAGAAAAGGACTGCCAGGGATTTATTTAGCTCAATGGTTCTGCCACCTTCCTCTCCCAAGCACAAGGTCCCCCTCCCCAAAAAAGCAGGCTTACCTTAGAGTTCGAGGAAGCCTATCAACTAGAAAGATACCTCCTGGTCCCCCTATGCAAACTGCGTACTGTGTCTGTGTCTCTTTTACTCCTTAACATTCTCCCAACAGGCATTTGGGAAGTTAAAGGAAGAAAGGTTTATTTGACTCAGTTTGTAGAGGTTTCAGTTCATAGTTGGCTGGCTCCAAGGCAGGATGGCATGGCAGAGAGACATTGCAGAGAAACAGTTCATGGCAGGCAGAAGACAGCAAAAGCAAACAAGCAACCCACAAAAAGCAATTTTCTGTCCCTTATATTTTATCCAGGCTACCCACCCTTAGGGCAGGTAGCACTCACTCCCTTAATCCTAGCATTGCACCATCAATCAATACCAGTGTCACTCTAGATCCAGCCATCTCTGAAAGGACCCAACTATGACTGCATGAGGCTTTGGGGGGATATCTAGACAGAAGCCAAAACACCAGTAAATAGATTTCTCATAAGAACTTACTGGGTCCATTTTTATAACCAACAAGTCACAGTTGATTACTAACATAGCCACGATTTTTCTAACGCACTTGCCTACTGCTTTTGACTGACCTCATCATTTACTTAAAGGTTCTTCAACATAATTCTTCCATTACTATCCTGGGAATTTGTCAGAACTCTGTTCTACTTCCTGTATAATATTTTAAATGTCTGTTTTATTTCTTGATATGAGAATTTTACTAATAATCTGTTGTTCAACTCCTCCTACTGAATGACTAGTTTTCTACATCTAAGCAAAGTAGAGAATAACTTGATTAAAACTCCATAAATCACACCTCTTTAATGGCAGCTTTTATTTTGAAAAGTCAACTGAATCCCCAAATTATACTTTGACCTTTAAGAACAATGACTGACTAGCTATAAAACTCAGAAGCATAGAGACACCTACTTGGGACCCCTTCTGGCTCTCTTAGAAGCTATCCTTTCTCTGAACACTTTCTACTTTTAACCTCTGTTCTTCCTAGGATTCATTCTTCAATTTTAGACAACATTAACTTGGGATATCAGACATCTATAGCAGTGATGATGGACAAGAATGGCAAACAGTGACTTCATCATAAATAACTTAAGGAACCTGGATCTGGAGTGCATTCCTGGGATTTAAAAAAAGATTCAAAGCCTTCATACATTGGACTTGGTGATGATTTCTTGGATGTGATACAGAAAGCATAGGCAACAAAAGCAAAAACAGACAAATGAAACTAAAACTTTTTATTCATCAAAGGACAGAATCAGCAGAGTGAAGACAAGCTATGGAATGGGAAATAATATGCAAAAACCAGTTGTTTGTTAAGGTGTTAGTATTCAGAATAAAAGACCTATATACCTTGGGCTGGTTGTGGTGCTGTACCCTAGTAATCCTACCATCTGGGAGGCTGAGGCAGGAGGATTACTAAGAGTTCAAGGCCAGTCTGTACTACACAGTAAGGACCTGTCTCATAACAAAAGACAACAGAATAAAACAGTACCATACAAGTTCTATCTGCATTCCCAAGAAGTTTCAGAAATTTTTGACCAAATCTATGCTAACACTGCAGATTAATATTCCTAATATAAGTATTTAATAATCTGTTTTAAAAACTAGGCATTCTTAAGGAAGACTTAAGAGAAATAAATTGTATGTTCAAAATAAAATTCAAAAGCACAGTCTGTTATTTCTTTTGCTGTCTTGTTAATATTTCAAACTTTTTCCATTTGGAAGGTATACAGATTTAAATATTTGGAAATATATAAATATTTCAGAACTGTTGCTATTGCTTAGCAATATTTATAATTCAATGTTCACCAGCATGGAAGTGAGTAAGAAAATCAAAATTCTTATTTTCTGCTTTTCTAGGACGGTTCTTCATTATTGCCAAAATACTTAAACTGCATTCCTTGGTATATTCATTTAACAGTTACTTTGCTCTGGAAGTAAATATTCTATAAAATATTACCTGTGATAATACTTAACTTTTATTTACTTTTTTTTGATACTGGGTATTGAACCTGGGTCCTTGTGCTTGCGAGGCAGGTGGCGGACCAAGTTAAATCCTCGGCCCTCCAGTTACTTTTTTAATATGACAGTATTTCTTAATAGTAAGACACATATTATATTCAGAGCACTCAAGGGAAACACTCACATGTCTGTCTACTCAGAACTACACTCTATCACCAGAGGTCCAGGAAAAGAAAACATGTTCAATACTAGATTTTACTTAAATAAGACCAAGCTTCACTTAAAATTATAATTTTAAAGTGTCTTAGTAGGTAGTTGAGTGAAAAAAAAAAAAGGGGGAAATTCTTAAAAGGTAAAACAAGAGTCAATGTATAAATACAATGAAAAAATGTGATACACATTTAACAACAAAAAAACTTTACTGAATTACAAATTTTAAAATGAAGCACTTAATTTAAAAGTGGGACTATTTTATTTTCTTAAGCCCATTCTCTCAAGAAATCCACTTTATTTTTGAAATGATAAAGCAAATGGTTCAACTACAAACTAATAAAGGAGAAGTGGACTGGTAATCATGGGTCAATCCTTATTATGGACATTTAAATGTTACTTTCTGTATTAAAACAAAATGATTTTCAGTTAAGAAACAGGAAAAGGGGTACAAAGGAGAGTGCAAAGCATGTACAGAGGTTTTTCTACAGGTCCAGCATTATAAATTGTAGACTGGGTACTAGTGACCTTTAGGATATGCTACACCAGCTATACCCAGGAACCTGTGTGAAACCATTTTTTTCTTATTCCTAACAGAACAAATGGTATATGAACAAGAAGTAAAACTTAATTGTAAGATCTGTACTCTTAAGACTACTTGACATAGCCCACATTTCCAGATGGTTCACAATCTTATCAAATAACAGAAGAAGCCAACGAGACTCAGGACAAAAATATTTTCTACCAATCTTCATATGAAAAGACCACAGCTTTAATGATTTATACAATTTTATGCTTAATCCTTGGTCAGTATAGATTTCAAATCAAAATCAAGTCAAACTGTTTACAATAATGACACTGTACCAATATGCTAACAATCTCTTCCTAGGATGTCTTCTTCCTATGAGGGAAAAATTCATCAACTTTTGTTCTTTGCCTGTGAAAGGATTTATGAAAGCCTACTACACTGTCCGTCTCCCCCCAACCACCCCACCCCGGTAACAGGGATTGAACTCAGGACCTTACACTTGCGAGGCAGGCGCATCACCAATGAGCTAAATCCCCAGCCCTGCTACACTATTAATAGTGTTCTTCTGAAAAACTAAAATATACTACAAAGTCAAACAGGTAAATAACCAATAAAACCAAACTGATTTCAACAAAGCCATATTGCCAAAAGTAAACTCTATTAAGAACAAGTAATATACATATACAAGAAATGAGCATGGGTTACAGATGCAAAAAAATATCTAATTATTGCAGATTTGTGACCATAATAATAAAATCAAATTCAGATACTATTTCAAATATGTACAATTTAGATAAGCTGGACAAGTATTACTTGAATACATACCATATTTTGTAAACCTAAAATTATATTACCTTTTTTCTTCCTCTAATATTTGTACGTACAGGTCAATATGAAAAAAAAAGTAATTCCTACTTTTGTATTAACAAAGAACAATTTCTACTATGTATGTTTCAGACTGTAAAAAGTTAAGAACACTTCAAGAAGAAAAACATAAAAATAAATTGCCAAAAGTTTAATTGATAAGATTAGTATTGACTTACTTATAAAAATGAAAAAAAAGTATTGAAATAGCTATCATACAATTATTGTATGGTTTCCCTACTAATCTGAAACTACAGAAGGCATTTGAGGAAGGGATGTTAGATCAAAAAACAAAAACTAATTTGTGGGATGGATGTGTGTCATTTAAAAAAATCTGATTTTCAGGAAAACTAGTTGCTTGGCCTAGTTTTAAAGCTAGTTACAAAATCCATTTTCTTAATGGTCCAGATCCAATTCTTCCAACTCAACAGAACTGTCAAAAAAGAAAAAACATTTTTGTGAGACCTTTAAACAAAGATTATACATCCCACTTAACATAGCATATATATCTTAACTATTTTTAAAAGCATGTTTGAGAAGATACTATATTTTTTTCATACATAGTTATCTTAAATGTTTGTCTAACTTAGTAGGAATAAGCATGGTAGCATACTCCTGAAATCCCAGTTGTCTGGGAGGCAAAAGAAGATCACAAATTCAAATCATGCCTGGGCAATACAGCAAGACTCTTTCAAAATTAAATTTAAAAGAGCTGGGGATATACCTCAGTGGTAGAGCAACTGCCTATCATACCCTAGGTTCTGGATTCAGATTCATTCCCCAAGAGAGAGATAGAGAGATACAGAGGAGGGGAGGGAGATGGAAAGGAGGGAGGGAAGAAAACAGGCAGGTTCAAGGTGGCATGGCCTGTACTTCAAGCCCTCTGAGAGACTGAGGCAGGAGGACTGCAAGTTCTAGCCCAGATGGGGCAACTCATTCTCAAAATTAAAAAATAAAAACAGGGTTGAGGAGATAGGTCAGTGTGAAGACTATGGGTTCAATCTCCAGTACCACAAAAAATTAAAAAATAAAAAATTAGTAGGTATAACTAAAAAAAGTATGAAAGTATTTTATTACTTTTATTAAATACCTCATTTCTTAATTTTGGCTCTTAAAATTAATTTTAGTCAGTTTTCCACATTAAAATGAATGTTGTTAAATTCATCAGATACTACGCCAGAACTTAAGCTACAAACTGCTTATGTTCAAAACAAACTATGCTAAGCCGGGGATTTAGCTCAGCGGTTCGGTGGCCTGCCTTGCAAGCGCAAGGACCTGAGTTCAATTCCTGGTACCAAAAAAAAAAAAAAAAACAAAACAAATATAAGAATGCTAGCTAGAAAACCGAGTTTGCTCATTTGCTTTTTTTAAAAAAAGGTGACTGAGGGCCTGGAATTTAGCTCAGTGGTTCCGTTGCCTGCCTCACAAGTGCAAGGTCCCAGGTTCGATCCTTGATACCAAAAAAATTAAAAAAATTTTTTTAAAAAGATGACTGAATTGTTGTATATAATAAACAGGTACTGGACTTAATCCTTAAATACTATCTAGGACCAAAGTCCCAAACTATATTTGTAGAAAAGATTTGTCTGGCTGAAATTACTCCTAGGGATCAAACACAGAGCTTCCACACTAAGCTACACCTCCAGCACCCTTTTTAAGACAGGGTCTTGCTACTAAACTGCCCACACTGAGCTCAAACATACGATCCTCCTGCTTCAGCCTGTCTCCTCCCCACCTCTCGGTACTGGGGATCAAACATGAGTCCTTGTGCTTGCAACGCAGGCAGCAAAACCACTAAGCTAAATCCCCAGCCCTTTCTCTTCTCTTTATTCAACCTGCAATGTATTATTTACACTTAACATATGAGAAAAATACAGCTCAGTGATGCTAAGTGGCTGGTAAGTGATGATAAGGGAGTTGAAAATCAGTTTGTATGACTCCAAAGATTTATTCCTTACCATGGGAGCCTTCCAATCCCAAACTCCTAACATTCTCAACCTATATATTCACAATAAAAATGTTCTTGGGATTGATATGCAATTCTTTTCCCAAGGTTATATGTTATTTGTAGCTAACAAATCATTCGAGAATAATTTAAATAACAAATCTTCCAGAATCAAAATCAATTTAAAAAAGTAATAAACATGAACAGAATTTTTAGAAGGGTCAAGAGTGGAACAAGTCAAGTATTGCAATACACCCCTATAATACCAGGATTCAGAGGTGGAGGCAAAAAGACTGCAAGTTTGAGCCCAGTCTGCAACTCAGCAACTTAGTGAGCCCTTGTCTCAAATATTTAAAAGGGCTGGGGATGTAGCTTAGTACTAAGTCCTTGGGGTCAATCCCCAATACAACAATTTAATGAATTATAGTATATATAGGACTGTGTTACGCAAAATAAGCATTTAAGATTCTCTTCTGCCATTCCTGCAACGCATATATATTAATAAAATCAAGTGAAGTATTTCTAGTAGGGTATAATATAACATATTTGTTACAAATAGTTAATCAAGGACTTCTACAGTAGTAAATAGTGTGAACATACATGTATAACTTAAACATCTAGGTGGATGTATGAGAAGTCCAGAAGAAATTATTCTACTATAAACCAATATAATATGAATCCAAGAAGGGGCCATACCTTCCATCGATTTCCACATTCATTACAGACAACAAATGTTGTCATTGGTTCATCAGCACTACGGGTTTGTACCTGTAGCAATATCAAGTAAAATGTATTACTTTTTGTAGTATCATTAAAATATCCAGAACATTTTACACAGAGATACATAATAATCACAATGGAATCACAATAAAACATATAAGACTGAAATAAGTTCAAATAAGCTAGATAATATAAAAAAAGCATACATGTCCAAACTTCCTTTTTCTAAATCCTTCCCTGTCTTTCATATTTATGATAATTGGAAAATTATCATAAGTGGAAAATTAATACTCTAAAGCTATCTATTATACTTTTAGAAATGGCTAACAAATATGAAAAATACTCATCAGTAAAAAACAGGTATGCAAGTTGAAATATGCTAATATTCTCTTAAAAATAAGCAAAAATGGTAAAGAAAGAACATTTTATTTTTGACAAATAACTGCCATATAAACAAGGCAAGAGCCTTATATACCCATTTTTCTGTAACTTGGGAACTTGATATCTGACCTTCTCTAAGATGCTAATTAGAAACACGAATAAATATCTACATATAAGGATATTTGAAGAATATAATATTATAACTGCACAAATACTAGAAAGAACTTAAATATGCAATAAGGAAATAACCCTAAATTGAGTACATCCATCTGACTGAATATCATGTAGCTATTCATATTCTTACAAAAGGGTTTTTCTACAAATAAGGGGATAATGCTCACATTTTAACTAGTAAGTAAAAAATAAGTACACAATATAGTTTTGGCTTTATTTGCTCCAGCTATATTTAGAAAAACATTTACAAACATCAAGACACTGATAAATGTTCTCGATGGAGAGCAGATAAATGGATGATTTAAAACTTGTTCATAGGTATGGCTCAGAAGTAGAATGCATGAGCCTCTGGGTTCAGTCCTCAGCACCTGCTTCCCCCAAAAAATCCTTGTTCACATTATTATGTATCTTCTATAAGCAGGTATTATGTTGCTTAAGTAGTTCCTAAGATCATCCTGATCCAGCAATTCTTCTGCTAGATATACAACCAAAAGAAATGAAGCAGAGTCTCAAAGAGGCATTCGTAAGTGCAAATACATTTATATGCAAATTACAGTGTAATAGCCAAATGATAGAAGCAACCCAAGTATCCAATGGATGAACGGATACACAAAATGTGGTATGTACATACAACAGCATTCCATTCAGTCTTAAAAAGAAGGAAATGACACAAGTTACACAATGGATCAATTTGAGGACTCTATGTTGAGTGAAATAAGCCAGTTACAAAAAGGCAAGTACTTTATTATTTAACTTTTCTGACGCACACAAAATAGTCAAATTAAGAGACGAAAAGAATGATGGTGGGGGCCTGGGATTTAGCTCAGTGGTTCTGCCACCTGCCTTGCAAGTGCAAGGTCTTGAGTTCGATCCCCGGTACCAAAAAAAAAAGGAAAATCTTGGGCAGCGGTTCAGTGGCCTGCCTCGCAAGTTCAAGGACCGGAGTTCAATATGGGGT